TTCTGTATTTTCAATCACTATATATTAGTAGTAATCAAAAGCTTCAAAAATATACTTGTTAATGTGAAAGTTGAACATGTAAATTGTAATCGTATCATTTAGGGCCCGGTTTGGCCATGCAATATGGAATCATGAGAAGAAATTGAAGTTTTGTTTGGACATGCGATATGGAATTTTTTGTGTTGTATATTTTTCTCATTAAAACATAAAAAATTTTCATAAGTTGTAAAACTATTAAAATAGCCCCAATTATTTATTCAATCTTATCAAATAAACAAAAAATTTATAAAATCGCATAATAAATTATTACAAAGCTATTTGTTTTCCACTTAAGTAATTGTTTCATCTAACTTTAATTTAATAAAAAAAAATTGAACATAAATTGTAGTGTACTAGTAGTTACTATAATCCTCCCACATAGTACGGACAATTTCCTCATGTTGAACTTGCATTTCTCAATCATGTGACCGAGAAGATGAACCAACATTGTTACTTTGAGTCATTTGTTGGTTAATATCATCCGCAACTATATCTTCATGCTCATAGACCATAATATTTCATTAGTACTTTGGTATTCTTGCAAATAATTATGTAACACTGCACAAGCTATGACAATTTTCACTTGTGTATCAATATCATAATGATTCATGCCTTGTTTCAGTATTCTAAATCTATTTTCCAAGCTCCAAAAGTCCGTTCAATCACATTGCGCAAAGATGAATGCCGATGTGAGTTTAAGTGAAAATATGTTAGTGAGAATAATAATTTTATGTCGGTGAGAATAATAAATTTTATAAAGTAATGATGTGATTATAAATTTTATTTACATATGAAATAAATGGTTAGTAGATATAAATGTGGGTTGTTTTAACAAAATATAAACTCGTGGATCAATTTTTGTATTAAAATATCTCAAATCATGATATGGAATTTCCATATAATTCCATATCATGGTTTTTGGAGAATACGGTATCACATCTCATGATAAGGAATCATGAGATGGAATCAGCGTAAAATCGCAAGTCCAAACGCTGATTCCATCTCACGATACCATATCACGATATGATATCGCATGGCCAAATGCCTACTGAATTTGTGACAACAATTTTACAAAATTCAAGTTGTGAGATGATAATATTATACACATGAGATCATCTTGAAAATATATTTATTAGGATTGAATATGTCTAAACAATCTACTAAATAGAAAAATATGTCTACATATGTATATCCTCATGTATACGTTCCCAGAAAGCAGAAAAATTTCAAATATAATCACATAATTATCACTTCACTATTTTTTTCTAACTCATATGTCACTAAACTTCGAGATACTAACTAAAAAATTACAGAGTTTTTACAATTCCGATCAACCCCTTCAAAGAGTTTTACTTTATTAATAGGGGAAACAATGTTATGGTGTAAGACTCAAAATTTCTTCATAAAGTGTTCCGTTCTTTTAATATTTTACTTTATTCATATGAGTTTGGATTTTAGTTGGGATCAAATCAAAGCTTTTTAATTGAATTTTTATTTTTTTGAATATAATTATAATTACGGTAAAATATAGTAAAGGAAAGTTAAGTCATCTTTCTTCTCTCACCAAAATTAATTCATAGTTATCTTCATTATTAATCAAGTTTATTTGTTTTTCTACGTCTGCTTTTTTTTTCATCAGAAGTAATTTTTTAATTTCTTAATTGTCTTTGTTTTTTCTTTTTTAATTTTGATAAAGTCATGATCCGTAAACACAAGAAGAAGAATTGAAAAAAAGTTGCAATTTGCAATTTATTATTCTGATCTACAATATTAAGATATCTCAAATATCCTGAAGATCAAAAGGGTTGATAACAATATAATCACTAATACAAATATAATTATTATCCTTGAGAAAATTCACAAAAACCTTGAAAACATGATTTAACTGAAAATAATTGAAAGATCAATACAACAAAAGAAGACGCAAAAACTAAAAAATAGAACAAGAAGATAAAGAGACAGAACCAAATAAAATCAGATGTAGAAAAGCAAATAAACTTGATTAATTCAGAAGATAACTATGAATTAGTTTTGGTTAGAGAAGAAAGAGGACTTAATTTTATTTTATCATAATTATAATTATATTCAAAAAGATATTTTATTAATTACTTAATTAAGTTATCATGTTTATCTTAAAAATAACCATATGGTGTAGAAAATCTTATACGTGCACTAAACTTAAACTCTTTTTTTATTGTGTGGCTTTTTAGTTTGTACTCCCAATGTTTCAAAAAGAATGACCTCTTTCTTTTTTTGGTAACATTTTAATTTCAGCTTTCCACCTGATATGTTTAAGGCCACAAGATTAAAGGACAATTTTTATACATTTGAGATAACTTTAATTTAGGATCACAAGATTCAAAAATCTTCTTTATTTTCTTAAACTCCGTGCCAAGTTAAACTAGATCATTCTTTATGAAACGAAGAAAGTATCTCAAAGTGGGTGTCTTTTATGTTATAAAAGTTATTCAAGTGACTTTAATGAAAATAAGTAATTGTTGCGTGATCATATGTGAAATTTATTCTTTCAAGAAGTTGTAGTAAGATTTTTTTAAAAACTACCTACTCGATTACAAAATCGAAGAAATTGTTGCAAAGCTTTCTAGGAGCTATCTATACTAGATTGCAAGCCTCACAAAGCATTGAAAAGTTTTTCAGAAAATTGCTTGTAAGTTGTCTATATAAACTACTTACTTGATAGTAAACTTATTCGGGAGGTTTCAGAATTCTTAAATAGATATTTATAATATAATGTATTTATAATAATTTTTAATTTTTAAATAATAGAAGAGTACTATTCTTTTTAGGGAAAATTGCATAGTTAAGCAAACATATACTAGTTAAGTAGTCATCATAACTATAGTTTTGATTAATTATCACTCGTGACCAACATTCAGTGATAAATACGTGGGCTGGGTTTTGAGTTTATATAATTCGTACGTTTGTATTATTCAAATTTTATATAAATTTTGTATAATATTATTTGTATAACTGTTTAAACTTTAGATGTTTGTGTTTGTATAACTTCGATATTTCGAGTTTATACAAAAATAGCTCAATTACACAATCGTACTCACAAATTATACAAACGAAATAGCTTAAATTGTATCTATAACTCGTAAATATACAAACTACAATTATAAAACATAATTAAATTTATTATAATAGATATTTGCGGAAACTCCTTTTCTTTTAAAACGAATCAAAGACAAAACAGTGTGTCATGAGATGAAACGGAGGGAGAAAATTGAGAGGTGAGGAATAAAACCTTTGATAATGGATTACTGGTTGATAATGGTGCATGCTTCGTATCATATAATTAAAAATAAATAAATAAAAAGCTTACACGAGATGATGATCAGATCAAAATGAAAAGGAGATATTTGGAATATTTTGTTTCCTTTGCATCAAAAAACTTTTGTACTTATCAGGTAGGATGAATACGATTCCTTTATTTTTAATTAAAAAATTTGAATTCAAACTTTTGGTATAATTATTATTTTGATATAACACATAAACATGTTACTTAATTGCTTCAATTAACATCTATGTTCTCCAACTTTAGTTGTGCAAAAGAAGACACTTTTAAATTTGTATAAATTGAATAAGTAAATATACGCATCCTATGTAACATCTTACATGAATTGTCAAGTAAGATGTCACGTCGAATGCGTGTGTCTACTTGTTCAATTTTATATATGCATATAAGTGTTTACTTATGTACATTCAAAGTTGGAGAGCGTAGATACTGGTTAATGCCAAATTGAAAAGCATATTTATTACGTATTATATCATTTTTTGTAAGCAATCATTTTTTAAAAACGAGTCCTACATGATGCTAATCCAAATGAGTTAGGACTCTAATGCATTTATCAGACATCGAATATCGAAAAAAATATAGGAAATAAAGACCTTTAATTTGTACTTTCTTTAGCCTATCTCATTTTCCTATGTCTTGATATTCCTTTTTTACTTTTCAGTGTCAGCAGCCATTTGGCTTGTCCCCATGCTTCAAGTTTTTAGATGCCATTCCCTTCCTACATAAAAGTGTTTTTCATTCAACAAAGTAGAATATTAAATAAAAAGACCCACATGCCAATAATCAATTGAAAAATTACTAAAAGTGAAGAGGATTGCCATTTTTGAGACAAGTGCACATTGTTTGCTTGCTTAATTGATGTGCTAATCAAGAGATTGGAACTTAGGGGAGAGATGCCTTAATTCTTTGGGTAGCAAAAGTATACTCTTAATTTAATTAATTATTTCTTCAACACGTTATTACGTGTGAAACTGTTTTTTTTTTTTAAAGAGTGGTGACGATGAGACTTAAACAACATATTATGCTTGACTATGGTAAATATCATGTTAAATGTGTGATTATCTGTCTATCTCATTATATTCTACAACAAAGATAACTTTTCAGCGACAAGAAATATGTACTTTGATATAGATTTTAGGAGCATTTACAAAAGTGTTAGAATATAATTATCACTAGTAATTACCTCAAAAAGGCATATTCAACAATAATTAACCTATTGTCGTTAATTAATTGCCGCTAATAATAATTTTTGATGAAGTGAGAAAACATACTTTTATATAATTTACTTAACTATGTCGTCTTTTTTATTGGTGTCTCATCTGGTGTATAAGATATATTAAAACTTGATTAAATTTGTATTATACGTCGCAGGGACAATTTTAGAGACCTAAGATTTTCTTCATTTTCAGGGATTAATCCCGAGAAAACATATTGTACGAACTATTTGTCTTTTTTCTTTGAGCTTATCATCCAGTGTCTGATATTTACATTGAAACCTGATTAAATTCAGATGGCATGTTATAACGCTCTCAACATAATTTTCTCTATTACCGGGACCGGAACCCAAGTAAATATACCTTTATATAATTTACTTAACTAAAGTCTTCAACAATAAGTCTCCTCCCCTTTTAATGAGTTATATATGTCATTGTCAATATATATATACTCAAGCAACCTCTTTACAAATGGAAAGCCTATTCAGAAACTCTTTGGAACTGTTAGATCTCTTTTGCTTTACAAAGCCATCAACAACAACAACAACAACAACATGCCTAGGGGTCGACCACTTTCTTTGCAGGTTTCACTTTCTTTGGTCTTTCTTCTTCCTTTAATCTTTTCTCACCTTTTCATCAGTTCAACCTGGAAATGATTTCATCTGAATTTACTAGCCAACTTTATTGTAAAGATGTATCTTTTGAATAATGGAAAAAGTTTCAAGTTATATGTATATCTTTACCTGTTTTGTCATGATCCAAAAGTCGAGTTCATGATGACAGACACCCCAGAACCCCAAAATGGTGTGTAAGCTAAAAGAAATAACACATACGAAACTTTCAAAGGGAAGTTAGGCCACAACCCGTGATAGAATAAGTATAAAGAGTATTTAATACATTTCTAGATTCTGAAATATATTTCCAGTTTTCGAAAGAAAATTAAAAAGTATAAATGATAGATGGAGACCGATAGCGATCCAGAAAGCAGAATCTCACCCCTACTTCTGTCATCCTTTTGATGCAAAGCCTAGTTAGGATAATCTTCATAGTGACTAATCGAATCTAGTGATTTCTTCTCATATAACCTATCTTATTTTAAAGATTAAAAAAACTTACCTATAAATATTATTTAAGTGAATTTATACTAGGAAAAATTCTTTACACTAATGTTGTTAGACTTAGCTAACGCTAAAATGAATGTGTTGATCACATGACTATTCTAACGACCATGCTAGGTGGATGCTGTTTTATAGCATGAGATCATCTGAATTTAGTATTTTTGACGTCACTATAACAAAAGAGATGTTTAGTGGTAATACAAATTTTTATTGCCGCCAAAAATATTTAGCAATAATTAAGTTAATGTCATTACATTCAAAATTGTTAAAGCCTTTATTGATATTTAATTTGTATTGTAAATACTCATATTTATAATTGCGCTAAATAAAATTCTCATCTTTTGTTTGTTATAGTGCATGGAGTATAATTTACTAAGATTAATTGAAATAAATAGTAGATTTGAAATCATAATTTAAAACCTTAAATGTTGAATAACGACAAATAATCTGAGATGGATGAAGTACAATTAATTTAGTAAGCAAAGAATAATTGTGAGAATTATTTAATGATGATTTATTTTACAGACGGTGGAACTCAAAGTAAGGATGTGTTGCCCTGGTTGTGAGAGAGTTGTCAAAGACGCTGTCCTCAAGCTTAGAGGTATGCAAAGATTATGCATCATCGGTTTTAATTTATTTATCTTATTTTTCTTTTTGTCCATCAAAAAAAATATTTCTTTCCTTTATGGTTTTATTGATAACTTTTTTATTCTAACTTTTCATATAACATATATCAGACCACAAGATTTTAAATAACTGAATTTAAAATCTTATTAGGTTTTTAAAATCATCATAAGATTTTAATTAAAGTTATTGAATGCTGTCAAATTCATAAGTGAAACTATAGTTCCACCGCCCCTATAGTAAAAATTCCATTATAGTAGTATGTCAAGCTCTCATTTTTTTTTTTTGCTTTTTTAATGACTCGAACTCACAATCTTAAGATTGAAAGTGAAAGGTGCTTACTATCCGAGCAACTCCCTCGTATCAAGTTCTATCATAAATATTCCATGACAAATCTATAATTTTCTTAATTACAATTGAACCAAGTATTATGATTCACATTATCACATACCCCTAACAAATTTGTGACGGCCTCATTGGCCTTCACAAATTTGTGACAAAATTATGACATGTCCGTCACAAATTTTGTTCACGACAATTAAATTCGCCACAATATATACATCAAATATTTTGCTACAAATCTATAATTTTGTTAAACATATAATAATAAGGGTATAAATAACAGGGGTGGATTCAGTAGAGATCGATGTAGAGATGGAAAAGGTGACCATAATGGGATACGTCGATAGAAAAAAGGTGCTAAAAGTAGTGAGAAGATCAGGAAAGAGGGCAGAATTTTGGCCATACCCAAATCCACCACTATATTTCACATCGTCAAATAATTATTTCAAAGATACAACAACAGAGTACAAAGAAAGTTACAATTATTGGAGGCATGGTTACAATGCTACTGATAAGTATGGTACTTTGCCTATAACTCAAAGAGGAGATGACAAAGTTAGCAATTTGTTTAATGATGATAATGTATATTCTTGTTCTATCATGTAATTTATAAAATATGTATGTTAATTAATTATAATCTTGGTATTATTGTTGTCAATTTCAATAAAAATAATGAAAGATTAGGCTTTCTCTGTATAATCCAAGTTTTTTTGTATGTGATACAAGACTACAGAAGGACTTAATTAACCAAATCCTAATATGTTGTTTATGTTAAAGCTTTGTAAAACACAAAAATAGACATTCGTAGACTAAGGGTGGGCAGAAATATCGGTTTTTTTTTAAAAAAAATCGGATCAAATCGAACTAATTCGATTTTGCTTCTTTGATTTTTCGGTTTGGTCTCATTGTTTTTTTTCAAAAGTTCGAAGTACTTCGACATATATATATATATATATTGTTAACTTCAAATATTAATTTCTAAGAGGAATTCAAACGTATTTTTTGTCGATGTACCGTTGTAGAGGAACTCATCTACGCCCTTCTTTTCTCGAGCAGTAGTTGGAGGCACATGACAAAGACAAATATGATCTTTTAAGCACAATAAGTGTTCCATTGTGAGGCACATAATCATTTAACATGGTTTAAAATTTTGAAGTGTCTTATACATTTGATTTTGTTCTTATTTTATTTTTCATTCGCATCAAAAAATCGTTTTAAAAACACCGAATCAAAGTTGAAAAAATCGAATCAAATTAGTTCGATTAGATATTCAATGCACACTTTTTCAAAATCAAAAATCGAAAAATTGAATGTCCACCCCTATCATAAGCTAGTGCTCTTCCATAATGAGTCAGGAACTTAGAAGGACAAAAGGGGTTCATTTAACTTCAAGTTAATATCTCGAAAGATCATTCAACTTTAGGAATTTATCTAGTAAATCACTAAATTTTATTTTGTATTAATAAAATCACCCAACTTAGATTTTTCTATCCATAAAATTACTCAACTAAATTTAGCATTAAAAAAAGGGAAAAGAGTTAAAAATGCCCTTAAACTATGTGAAAGGAACAAAAATGCCCTCCATTTATAGTTTGGCTCAAAAATGTCCTTACCGTCAATACTTTGGTTCAAAAATGCCCTTGCAGCCAATATTTAGTCCAGAAATACCCCCATAGTTACAAAATGGGTCAAAAATGCCCTTTTCCGAATAAATATATTATTTTTTTCTTTCTAAACATATCTTCTTCCTAATTGAAATATTATTAAAGAACACTATTTTTGTTTTCTTTCTTCTAAAATCCCTTTAACAAAAAAAATGTAGAAAATATTTTTTTTCTTCTTAATCTCATTTTATCAATTAAAATAGAATAACTTCATGTACCTTTCGACAGATAATTTATATCATATATATAAGATCATAGTATCCATCATTAATTTATATTTATATAACGATAATAAAATAAGAAATATTTTCATTTTTATTTTTTTCTGAATTGAAGTAAGATAAACATTTGCTAATTTTGTTTTTTTAAAAAACATTATTAGAAAAAAGAATGTGTTAGAAAGTAAATAATAATATATTTATTTGGAAAATGAGCATTTTTGACCCATTAAATAACAATAAGGGCATTTTTGGACCAAAATATTGACGACAAGGACATTTTTGGACGAAACTACAAACGGAGGACATTTTTGTTCCTGTCGCATAGTTTAAGGGCATTTTTGAACCAAAGTATTGACGGTAATGACAATTTTGAGCCAAACTATAAATGGAGGGCATTTTTGTTATTTTTTAAGGGAAAATTGTATAAAATAGGAAACTACTAATTCAAATTAAATGCTATAACCACAGTTTCATATAATTCTAATCCGTAGCAAACAATTTGCCACTCGCCTCTCTCCCCATAAATCTCGCTCGCCACTCTCCAGGTCTCGCTTGCCACTCTCTCTCTCGCCTCTCTCACTTTATACAAACACAAATGTATAAATTGTGTTTGTGTTTGTATAAAGCGAGAGAAAACTGTATATACACATACAAATACATATCTCTTTGTCTTATACACTTATAATTATACAATACAAATATTCCCCTGCCCAGTTCTCTTTTGCCTTTCTCTCTTTCTCGCTTTATACAAACACATATTATATAAAATACAATGTATAATTTGTGTTTGTATAAAGTGAGAGAGAGATTTGTATACAAATCTATCTGTCTACAAAAATACAGTTATGTATACATATACAAATTTTTATGTATAAGTATACCAAAATATATAAATACAAATTTTTATGTATATGTATACCGAAATATACAGATTAATAGCCATAGCAAACATAAAATTTGATATGAAGCGCAATTATGCAAATTATAGCTATAGTATACAAATATAATTTTTATGTTTGCTAAACCTAAAATTTACTCAATAAAAAACTAATTTGGTAGCAATTTAAGCCAACTATCGTATATTTTTATTTTAGGCTTCAATTTTGATAAAAACTTATCAACAATCATTACTAAAAAATAATACTCCATAATAAGTAATTTCTTCATAACTAATTCAAATATAATTAATTCCATCAAAACTTATCAACAAACCAAACAATCCCTAAAATTTCTAAGCAAGCGATTTTTTATTGATTATAATTTATAGGACAACAAATTCTAGAACGAAAAAAAGGATAATTATTTCATATAACTTTCAACATTTATTTATTTTAGTCTCTATCATATGTTGGACACCAAAACACTTGTCAGCTTTGAATTGAATCCCCAAATCAGAAAATTTTTATTCTGTGATGTCTCATTTGGCTGCCACATGTATACTGTGGGATTCATGTACTTATTTTCCTACTCTCTTTTTTTTCCAGTTTTAATCTTTTCTTTGGAGTACTTTTTCTTTCTTACTTGCATTTCTTTTTTTTGTCTTGTTAATTTTTAGTTGTAAATTTATTTTTATTTTTGTTTTAATAAAGAAACTTTGAAACTCACCCACGATATCTATTAGTATATACTTTATATCTCTATTACTATTTATTTGAGGGGAAATTAAAGTAATATGTCGAAAAAAATTAAATTTATTTATTTTTGGATGAATTCAAGAAAATTGAGAATAATGAAATTAAAAAAAATTGAAATTTCTTCAGTAAAGTAAAAATTCATGTAATCAACCAATTGAACTACTAAAATTCAATCGGCATTTTTTATTACACTTAAAATATATAATTTAATTTTAATTATTTAAATTTTAGTCATTAATTTTTTTTAAATTTAGATTTCAATTTTAATCACTCAATTCTTAGTTATCAAATATGTTTTTTTATTTTTGTTTATGATTTATATTAATAATAGTGTATTAATGATATCAAACACTCAATTATCTTTTCTTTTTCAGATTTGTTAAATTTTCCACTTCTATGACATGTATCCAATAAATATTGCCAATATTGATTTTGTGTTTTTCGTTAAAGATTTTCTTTATGTTTAGTATTTTAAAATGTGAAACGAAACTTTTATAGATTCATTTTTTTCTTGTGGGTTACGAAAATTAATAGAAAAAAAAGAGTCAAACAAATTAATTTGTGAAAGCACAAAATAAATAATTGTATGAATTTATTTTTTTCACTTAAGGTAGGACTTAAAAAAAAATAAAGTTGTAAAAATATTGGTAAAGAAAAGGGTAAAATTTGAGAAAATGTAAGTGTGAGAGAGAAAGTGTGACAATAAAAGGGACCCACAAAAAACACTTGTCAAAAGAAGATGGTGCCCTCACACAACTATTATTGGTTGTGCTTCAACCACCATAAAAATTTTCCCCAAATCATAGTATAGCAAATTCATAAGCCGTCACTTTTATTGGGAGCTGTTGGTTAACTTTAATTAATTTCAAAATTTTAAATATTAAAATAATAATAATTATTATTAAAAAAAAAAACAATAGAGTAAATCCATCTCAGGACTCAAGTAACTTTTTCATTTTTCCATTTGCCGTCACTTTTATTGGGAGCTGTTGGTTAGTTCATCTCTTCCCTGTTCGTTCTTCCTTCCAGGTTTATTCTCTTTTCAATATGAATTTTTTCATATTTTAAAATCTGATATTTGGAATCAACTGTACTAAATTTTTCATCTATAATTGTAATAGCAATTTGAAGTCAACGATCTGTTGTATGTTTCAAATTTTTTATACTCACTATATCCCTATTGATGCAATTGTTGTATTTGATTTTTTTAATTTTTTAAGACGTTTCATGGTCGATTAGAACAATTCTTATAAGGTTTTTGCATAAAGAATGTAAATTGTTTATTTTTCGGAAAAATAAATTAACATAAATCTGAGTTTTAGCTCCGAAAGTTTTGTTAGTGAGCCACTTTACCCTAAAGTGGCACAAATCCCCAAAAAATATATCCGGTGTAGTTTCACGAAGTGGGGTCTGACCAAATGGGAGGGTAGAGTAGAGTAGAATAGAGTGTAAGTAGACCTTATTTCTATATCAGATAGAGAAATTGTTTATGATAAACCCTCGACTTAAGAAAAACGTCCAAAGCAATCAGAAAAAGTGGTAATGGAATAACAAATAGTAGTAATTGATTAGTACTACAACAAAATAATATGATAGTCAAAGTTGTTCAAGAAACAATAGAGAGTAACAAATATTGAAGACAGTAAACTATAAGAGTAATACTACGACTACTAGTATGGATGAATAGCAAGACAATGCATTTCTATCTACTAATCTTCTACCCTAATTCCTGTCCTCCACAATCTCTTAACTAAGGTCAAGTCCTCAGTAACTGACACTGCGTCATGTCATGTCTAATCATCTATTTTCAATACTTCTTCGGTTTACCTCTAACTTTCCTACGGTCATCCATATTCAACCTTTCACACCTCTGCACGCTGAGCATACGTGCATCTCCTCATCACATGCCTAAACCATCTCAATAATGCTTCCCACATCTTGTCCTCCACTGAAGCCACTCTCACGTTGTCTCGGATATCAACAATAACATGCCTATGTGTGTCCATCTCTGCCACTCTCACGTTGTCTCTGCCAATATTTTCATCTTTTGAACATGAGAGTTCTTGATGGAGGAATATATGATTCCATTTCTTCTAAACATACTCAGATCAGTCCTAGAGAAGCTATAATGACACTCAAGTTTATCAACAAAGCTGCAAAGTTATACAACTTGTGGTAAAGGAATAGCAATCTTCCCAAATACACAATGCTAGGCTTCTCTGCTATTACATTATTCTTACTTCTGTATTGCATTCTTAATGCAGAATAATTGTAATGACTTCTGCAAGTGCAAACGAGAATTGCCTTGGTTGGGCAGCGAGAGATCCGTCTGGAGTTCTTTCACCTTATGAATTCAACCGGAGGTACATTTACAGCGTGCAAGGATTGAATGGCCTTTTGTGATGCTTGATTTTCTTTTCTTTTGGTTGAGTTTTCGTCCTCTGCCAAGGGCTGTTCTATTTCACCACTTTGGATTACATGATCATTCACTAACTTTAAATGGTTGAACTATTGATTTGATTCTACTTTTCGAGTTATTTTAAGTTGCAGCTAAAATTTCAGTTTACTTACCACAGGGCAGTCAGCAGTGATGATGTTCTGCTAGACATTGCATTTTGTGGAATGTGTTTTGCTGATGTTCTCTGGACCAGAAATATACTTGGAACTTCAAAATATCCTCTTGTGCCAGGGTGAGAAGCTTGATTTCACAAATTATTTGGTGCCAGGATACATTTTACCTCATTTACTTATATTGTGAAATTTGTTCATGACTGTCAGACATGAAATTACGGGAATTGTGAGAGAGGTTGGTACGGATGTTAAGCACTTCAAAGTTGGCGACCTTGTTGGAGTTGGAACATATGTTAATTCATGCAGGGAATGTGAATATTGTTGTGATGAATTAGAGGTTCATTGCTCAGAAGGAGCAATAAACACTTTTGATGGTATAGACGTCGATGGTACAGTTACTAAAGGGGGATACTCCAGTTACATTGTAGTCAATGAAAGGTTAATATATCCAACTCTGCGACAAATTATGTGTTGTTCTCACCCCACTCGTCCCAACGTCCCCTGTTCTATACCCTATGTGGACCAAATGGTCGTATAAAATAGGTATATAGTATACTGATATATGTTGCTTGTATGTACAGGTACTGCTTTAGAATACCTGAAAATTACCCGCTTGCATCTGCAGCACCTTTACTATGTGCTGGAATTACTGTTTATACTCCGATGATAAGACATAACATGAACCAACCGGGGAAATCTTTAGGTGTCGTTGGATTAGGTGGTCTAGGCCACTTAGCAGTGAAGTTTGGAAAGGCTTTTGGATTAAAAGTAACGGTGTTCAGTACAAGTATATCTAAGAGAGAAGAGGCGATAAATGTTCTTGGAGCAGACAAGTTTGTAATATCATCGGATGAACAGCAGATGATGGTATAATATCAGTCATAAACTTGCAGTCTGTACTTCTCTATAGATATAGATATCACGATAATGCTATAACCTGCTGTTGTTGTGATTGATCTCTCTTACGTTGTTACAGGCGCTGAGTAAGTCGTTTGACTTCATTATTAACACTGCTTCTGGAGATATCCCATTTGATACATATTTGTCGCTGTTAAAGACTGCTGGCGTTCTTGTTCTTGTTGGCTTCCCAAGTGAAGTGAAATTTATTCCAGGAAACTTAATCCTCGGTATTATTTTCTATATCTGCTCACAATTTGAAGCAAGATTGTGTTCTATATGTCGTACTCTGGCTAAAAATGAGTCGTTTCTGGCAGGTATGAAGAGCATCGTTGGGAGTGTAACGGGTGGAACAAAGCAGACACAAGAAATGCTGGATTTCTGTGCTTCCCACAAAATTTATCCAGAAATTGAGATAGTCCCCATTCAGTATGTCAATGAGGCACTCGAAAGGTTAATGAAGAAGGATGTCAAATATCGCTTTGTAATTGATGTAGCTAACAGCATCAAGTAAAGGTGGGAGGAAGAGTATGTTCTCATGAACTGATTTAATTAAACGTCGCAAAATCTCACATGAGCATTCATGTGGCTGTTATACCACAGCTATAAAGAAGCCTATTCCCTTTCGCGCATCAGCGTAGTGTTTTTAAAAAAGTATTTTTTAAGGTCCAAGGTATAAGGGAATGATATTATACAGGCTATACTAGATAGCAATGTTCATGCTCATCTTTTTGTTACTTTGGTCGTGCTTATGATGTGAGATTACAGTGGGTATGTTGTTGTTGTTGATGACTTGACGTTGTTTGGTTGTGCCTATCATCTTCTCTGTCTCTTTATATATTGCTATAATTCATTCCAAAGTCATGCTTGTAGATGTTGGCTTTATGCATTTCAATTACTTTTATCTTCTCTCTTATAAGAAGAAAATATAATTGCAAGGATGATGCTAACTTGGTATCTAGTGGTAGAGCAAGGTTCTAGTATGTAGCATTTATCTGTGTCCTTACCAGTATTGTTATTAGGGAAAATGCTCAAACATGCCATCGAACTTTGAGAAATGGCTTATTTTTGTCATTCGTTAAAAGTTTGGCTCATCTATGCCATTTTCGTTTGAGAAAAGGCTCACCCATGTCATTATTTGTTAACGGAAAACAATTCTGATTTTGTAAAATTATTTTTTACACGTGGTCAATTATGATTCGGCCACGCCATTAATTAAATTATATTTTAAAAGGAAAAAGGCTCAAATATGCCATTAAACTTTGAGAAATGACTCATCTATGTCATCTGTTAAAAGTTTGGCTCATATATGTCATTTCAGTTAACAAATAATGGCATAGATAAACCTTTTCTCAAATGGAAATGACATGGATAAGTCTTTCTCAAACAGAAATGACATAGATGAGTCAAACATTTAACGGATGACATAAATAAGTTTTTTCTCAAAATTCAATGGCATATTTGAGCCTTAATATTACACAATTCTATTATGACTATTATTGTCAATACTTTTATTTCTTCAATATTTTCACTGTAGCTTTTGACTTTTATTCTTAAAAACCTTGTTTTGAAAAACATTTTTCTTGAGCCGAAAATCTGTCTTAAACATCCTCTCTACATGACAAAGATAAAGTAAGATTTTTGTATACTAGTACTATCTTTTTCAAATTTCACGAGTGAAATTATACCGAATATGTTCGTTATTTTCATTGTTGTATGCTAACTTGACAAACAATGAACCTGTCTCATCTCTGAACCAATTTGTATCTAGACAATTCACATCACGTGTAGTGAAATGAAGGAATATACAGTTATCATACTTTTTATATTTCTTTCATAGAAACAGTTAAACATATACGCTAAATTTATTGAAAAAGACTCTGGCCTCATTTGTTTTAACTAATAAATTAAGATGTTTGAATTTGAATACACGAGATGTGCATTAAGGCTTTATTTGTTTTTTATTTAATAAGTGGCCTAATCTTAATTATTAAATCTATTTATTTTGTAGATCTGAATTTTAATTTTAATTGTTGAGTGTTACCGTTGCATATGTGTATCACAATTGGTCAAAATATTAAACAAGTAGATATCACCATTTTATTCTATGCCTAATGAAAATTCACTTTGTGCAAAATGAAGAAACCCAAAATACCACAAAACAACACTAACACGCATAAATAGCTCTAATAATATAATACTCGAACCTAAAATATGGATTCTACTAACTTTATCAAATTTATAATGTTTTTTTTTTTTTTATTATTGGTGAACACTGATTGGTAAATAATACTTTTGTCTATAGAAGTAGTCCCACATAAAATATGAAAGTCCAAAAATATTCTTTTAACATTGGTGCTATTAGAAAAAGAAAAAATGTTTTATATAATAAATTTTACAAAATAATATACGACAAAAAATATATTTAGTATTATCCTATTAAGTGGGTTTGAGGAAATAATAAAAACGAAGTATGGAAAAAAAGATGTAGCAACGATACAGTCATGCTGAAACATAATGAAGAGAACAATTGCACTTACACATACTCCTTCCGTTTTAAAAAGAATGAGCTAATTTTAAAAAGAATGAACTAGAGTCGTCGTACTTGATAAACTGCAATTATATCATATTATCTGGCCTAATCACCTCTCTCCAATACCTCTTCAGACTTCCTCTACCTCTCCTCATAACCGTCATTGTCAACCTCTTGCACTTCCTTAGTGCGGCATAGTGTACTCCTTTTCACATGGTCAGACTATTGATCTCAGTCTCGCCGCCCTTATTTTTTGTCCACCACTAGGGTCCTTCCCACCTTGTCCTGAATATCTTCATTCCTAGTATAAGTTATAAATACAACTTTACCTTCAAACATCTCTACAAAACCTTCTAAAAATTTATCATAAACTTTTTCGAGGTCAATAAACTTTACAAATAATATGACATTAATAATTAAAAAAACTATATAGTGATTGGGCATCTTGCTAACATTCACTAGTTACTTTATAAAAGTATACATATATTAGTTATTGTTGGGTGACTTCGACTAGACAGTGCAATTTGGTAAACCAAAAGATGATTGAACTTATCCCTAATTGGCACAAGGAGACAACAACATTGATACATTTTTAGTCATAATTGAAGTCATTATATTTTTTTTGTAGATATGCATGAAAACGAAATAATATTTGCCTACATAACTTTAACTTATTATAGGAAAAATCCAAACGTGACTTAAACATGTGGCACAGAAATTCAAATACAAAAAAACATTTGATATAAAATAATTACACTAACTGACTAAAGTGGGCATCCATTAGTCCCCTAAAAAATTTTAAATCCTACTGTCATCATCCAATTATTCTTCTCTTAGTTTTATTTCTTTAATTATATTCCAAATCATACCGCATTAATTTGACCTGAAATTATGTCCTTTTTCACCAAGGAGGACTAACAAATATATATGGAGTTATTAGGTACAACAAAGAAATTATAATAAAAGAACATACCAAAAATTAATCACATTTAAATTTTTGAAAAAATAATAATATTAAAATATATAGTTAATTGCAAAATTATGAGTTAGAATCCTGTGTTATTACTTTTATCAAATATGGGCGGAGCTAGAGGGAAGGAAGGAGTCGAAATCAAGACATCATATCATATATAAAAAAAATTAATAATATGTATATATATTGTTGAAAATTTTGTATCACTTGCAATTAAATATTGAAATACATTATTGAAGTAACATGTAGTATTCATAAATTAAAATTGTATATGAGCTGATTTTTAGTTTTTGCTCTTTAAATGGATTGGTCTTTAAGTTTTGTCCTTTAACAATCGAACTTATATTTAGTAAGACGTAAGTTTTTTAGAATCTGAACTAATGCCATGACATAACTTGTAAGATATTATGATTCAAAATATAAGTTTATGCTCAGTAAAAAAAGTATTTATTACGATAGACAAAAATTAAAGACCATCACAAAATAGGGATAAAAGGCGCAAATGACCCATGTATTAGACTATTAATGCAGTATGCCTAGAAATTAAAAATAGAAGATGATATACATGCATTATGTATTACATTAACTACGAATGATTATTTTATGCAAATTTTAGTTATGCTTGGATTAGTTATTTCTTTAGGTTCAAGAGTAATTTACTTTTTTCGGTTATAAAATTTTAGTTTATGAGCTATGTTTCTTTCTTTTTTGGAGAACTTAAATAAATCCCACTAATTTAAGAGCTAATTACTTAGATACATTCTAATTTTCAATATTACGTATCTTATCAGATTTTGGTGCCCTAGATATATGTATCTCGGATACATAAGGTCAAATTAAAGTGTAGTTTGTTGTAGATACATTGTATGTATGCAAGTGCATTCATATGTATCTGGGATACATGGCAAAACTCGCTCACCTCCCTCCCATATCTGCTTGCCACTCTCCCATATATCTAGTATCTCAGATACATGTGAAACACTTCACAAACATGTATCTAGTGTGATACACATGTATCTGAGAAACATACGAATTTCGCTCGTCTCTCTCCCTAATTTTGTGTATCTGATAGCAAAAAAATAAATGTATCTAAGTGAAAGATACTTAAAAAACACTTAATTAATGATAATATACATAATATTTTGAAAGTATAGATAACAATAATATACTATATAATAGTAAAGTATGTTTAATTACGTAATTTTTCCTTCTTTTTACTTGAAATGGTAAGAACTCTTTTTCTACTCTGAATTGTTAAAAATGTCTCTTTTTATTTTTAGTTTGTATCAGCATATGTATCAAAGGTGAAAAGAAAAGCTATTTTTTTTAGATATAATGTTCCACGAATATTACCGTGTTTTTTCTTTTACTTTTCACTCATCAATTTATTTATTGTTGCTGTAAAGTTATTAGACGTTTTTCGATCAATATATGAATATATTTATATAAGTCATTATCATAAGTCATTATCGATTGATTTTTTAATATTTTTATTTATGAAAAGAAAGATTTATATGGAGCGTGTAATTTAAACTCTGTGCTGATTGCAAGCAAATTCATAGGTATATTTTTTTTTTTAAAAAAAAAAATTCTCATTCAAATTGATACTATTTATGTTGTTAAAGTATTTAGAACATATTTACACATAATATGTCAAGTTATTACTTGTTTTTTTGTCAGAATCATACTTATATAAAAGATAAAATATAAACTATTGTAAGAAAATGAAAATTGTTTATGATCATAATTTAGAAGAGTTATTTACTGATTTAAATATATTTGGTAATAAACAAATTCCACTATCAAACTATATTAAAGTTGAACTGTATTTTTCACATTGATGAATAAATGTTAAACTTAAATGAAAATTATCAATATCGGTAGTGATTTTTATTTAATTACGATAAAATAGTCAAAATGTCGAAAAAGAATATAAATTCAACAAATCATTTGAAGAAAAAGATAAGGTGCGTACAACAAATAATAGCATATTCGAGATATAATATATATTTATATCATTTAAATAAATACAATATTTATTTTAATACCAATTACTACTTCTTAATAATTTTATCCTAATAAATAATTTTATTAATTTATCACTAGATATACATACAAAAACGTACACTAAACTAATTTAATAAAGCATAAAGAGATTATATGATTAACATTCAAGTTTCATGTTTTTCGATACTCCCTGTGTTTTAATTCATCATATATATTTTTTTCCTTTTTTGGAAAGTCAATTTAATTAATTTTAAAAGATTAATTAAATTAATATTTTAAAATTAAAAATTACTTTTAAAAAATTATAAATTACAATATTTTCATATCAATACAATAATAAAATCTATTTTAAAGTATTTATCAAAATTACATAATTTGAATTATTTATAAAAAAAACGAAAAGTATCTCATAAATTACAAGAGAAAGTAATAGAATAAGAAAGGAAATCAAAATCCAGAAAAGTATCTTTTGATTTCAATGCATTAAATGGTTTTTCTAGTTCTAAAGTTGACATTATCTTTTGCCAAAATAAAAAAGATTTGGGCATTCAATTTAAAATAAATTAAGATACCATGCACTATTATAAATTAAGGTCTTGTTGAACTAATTAAAGTGCTGCTTAAAGATTTTGTTTAAGTCAAAATAATGGTACTTACTTTTAGAAATAAATTAGTGCTTACAAAATCACGACTTTTTTTCTGGTAAATTTGATTCATATCTTGTTTGGAACAAAAAATAAATATTGATCCCCAACTTATGTACCACAATTCATTTTTCATTTTGAAGTTGAGAGTTTTCTACTTAAAATTATAAAATATTTGATCAAATTAAGAGTACTTATATTGTAAAATTATAAGTTGGAGGTTACTGACTTGTAACTTTTGATTGATTTTAGCTCAAAAAAATTTAACGTGTAAATAGGGATAGATATGATATGGTATATAATGAAATATTATACTATATTAAAATTTTTGATATCATAATTTTGGTATAGTATATGGTATATATTTTAAATTTTTTGGTATTCAGCACGATATTTGATATTTAGAAATAACATATCGGAATAACGAATATCATTCTGAAGTATATAGTTACATAATATATATATATATATATGCAACCTAGTATTAGTATAAACTAAATGCTTAGAAGTTGAAGTTGTGACTACCCTATTTTGATTGAAATGTATTTTAAATGTAATTGATTAACAAAAGGAGTTGTTTGTACTTTCTTTTTTGAATATATATTTCTATATGTGTAATGTGTTAATATGAATACAATCGAGAATTTTATTGAATCGTCGAAATCATAATACTCTATTATATGAGTATATAATAATTGAAATTGAACAAACTATGGATATCGATTTGCCACACCACAAATATCGAAATCAAGCTTTAAAATATTAAACCATACTAAACTAAATTGATATGATCATGATATAATGATTTTAAAACCAAATATCAAAATTACATTAGCGAAATTTAAAATAATGTACCATGCCCACCCTACATGGTGTAAGCAATTTTTGTGTTACCAAACACAAACAAAACAAAAAATCCATATAAACTAATTTGACAACCTATAAGGGTGTGTTTGGCTTGTTGGAAAACAAATTGCACAATATTTTTCATGTTTAATTGATAATATAAATCTATTACTTTCTTACTAAATTAAGAAACCATGTTTGCGCTCCACGCTCACTGTTTCCTCCACATCCTCCTATCAACCCACTTACTCTGATCATCACACACACCCACCCTCTTATCTTCACCTCTTGGTGTTTGCCTAGATTAAATATAAAAAAAAATTAAAATAATATTTTTTAACTTAGTAAATATCACGACAAAAAAAGTAATAACGATTTTGAACATAATTTTTTTCCCCTTATTTCTCAAGTGTTTCTCGAAACCATGATTGGTTACATATTAGAATGATTTTTAGGTTAATTTTTTAAGACGCGTTTCTCAAGTGAAATTTTTTCCCCACTTATAGAACTTCAAACTTTTTCTCAAATAAATTATACGTTCAAACATAGCTTCAACTTCCAAATATATATATATAAAACTTCATTACACCTACTAAAAAATCACTGTTTTGGAGGGAGATAGTAACTTTCATTGCCAAACTCCAAAAGAAACATGTCATTTTCAAAATGATTGACATGAAAAATATAGTAAAAGGTTTGGCAACTTAAGTTCCCAAATTCCCCAATCAGAAAGTACATGATCCCCATGTGCCTCAAGAGGTTCACATCCTAGCCAGCTAACAAAATTTAAAAAATTATGCCATCCACATACAAAGATCATTATCACATTATTACCAAGTATTATTCAAGCAAACAATTGCATGTGGACAAAAATATGAAAACTCATAATGCTAATATTAACCATTTCCAGAGGGACAAAGTTGAACTAACATAACCAAACACCCCACATGTTAATCCACAAATCATACTTTGTTTTGGTTTTCCATTATTTTTTGCAAGTTCCAAAATATCAAGAGCAATAGAAACATAGAAAAATAGTAACCACTACTATTTTTGCCTTTTCCCCAACACCCCCTACACCTTAAAATTTCCATATCATGAATAGTAAATTATGTACTCTTCAAACACCAAACTTAATTCCTTGTCCTCCCTCTCCACAAAGATTTAAAGAATCAAAATTTTTCATGCTTTTTTTAACCATATAGTTTTTATATTACTAAAGTACCTTTTCATCATCATTGACCTCATGACCTTTTTCTTTGTCACATTTTTCTTGCAATTCATCACCACCTTCTTTAGGACTCTCAACTAACAATGCCCTTTTCACTTGCTCCTCGTCCTCAATTGTGTTGTTTTCCTTTGATTTACCTGCATTATTATTACTCTTCTTGTCATTCCTCTCCGCTCTTGTCTTCAATGCTTCGAGTAATTCCCAGACCGCCTTGTCTTTATTCCTCCTGTTCTTGATTAACACCTCACTTATATCTGCGGGTGTCATTTCAGCTCGCCACATCACTTGCTCCAATTGATCTAATAATTCCTTCTCTACATCATCTTCGCTGTATCCCAAGTAATTCTTCAACAGAATCTTGAGTGCAGCGAAAGACGAATAGCTCATGTGAATGTGCATGTCCATTCTTCCAGACCTCAGCAACGCCGGATCAAGCTTCTCAATGTGATTCGTTGTGAAAACAAATATCCTCTCACTACCACAACACGACCATAAACCATCAGTAAAATTCAACAAACCCGATAGAGTTATAGTATTCCCACCACCATCTTCACTATTTGAACCACCACCACAACCAACACCGCCGCTCCCAGGAGGTGAAACATTGTAACTGCTACTATTACTGCTGTTATTTTTCCTGTTAGTCAAATTGATAGAACAATCAATGTCTTCAATGACAATAATCGACTTCGAACTCGTTTTCATCAACAACTTCCTCAACTCGGAATTAGTATGCACTTCTGTTAATTCAAGATCATAAATATCATAACCAAGAAAATTAGCCATTGCAGCAATCATACTAGACTTGCCTGTACCTGGTGGTCCAAAAAGAAGATAACCTCTTTTCCAAGCCCTGCCTGTTCTCTGATAAAAAGATTCCCCATTCGCAAAATCCAAAAGATCTGCCATAATCTCAGCCTTTTTCTGAGGATCCATAGCTAGTGTCTCAAAAGTACTGGGATGCTTAAACGGTACCGACTCCCAAGGATGACCTCTCGAATCAAGTGAACCTCCACGTGAATTCGTATACAGCAATCGATCCTGATTTTTTCTTCTGATTTCATTAGCTTTTTCCATAACGAAATCCAGATAAGCACCTAATACAACAGATTTATCTTTTTTCTTAGCTCGTAGAAGAAACCCCCTTTTTTCCTCCGGTAATGGCCGCCATGAAAATGTCTGTGAGTTTCTCGGAGTGACCACATGTTCCCAATGAACTTTAATGCCATTAAATGCATCTATTAGAGAATCGTTATTCGACAGCCCGAAAGTTATGTTGCTCGAATTGAGTCCTCTTGTTAGACTCAAACGATTACCGGTAACACAAGCGTAGCTACTCAGGTAGAGCTGAACAGCGTTGTAAAGCTCGTTGGTGTTTACTCCGTCGATCTCCGTGATGTCGTAGTAGCAATAAGCGGAGAACCAGTTACAGATTCGATGAATGATTTTGAGAATGGCGAAACGAATCTCCGGTGGGAAAACTACTTGAAGAAGGCTTTGACTGAATGCCCATACACCCATCATCGATGCCAACGTTGTCCATACCTCCTTCATCGTGTGCAACTTCTTCACTATAGAGCTTTTGGAAGAGAAAATAGTGTGCAACTTCTTATTCTACAGAGGTGAATAGAGAATAGTGTGCAACTTCTTTACTAGTTTTGAATCTAAGAGAGTGAAGAGAAAATAGTGTGCAACTTCTGGCTATAGAGAAGATATTTGAAGTTTTTTTTTGTACAATTTTTATAGAAGGAAGGTTGGTGAGTGTTTTGTAAAAGTTTTTTTGGTTAAGAGAACTAAAGAAAGAGGCAAAAAGGTACTGAAAAGGTGTGAGGTTTTTTGTTTTGAGATGGGAATTGGGAAGAGAGTTGGCTGGCAATGACTAATAAGAGACTATCAGAAAAAGAGATACTGTCTACAAGTAATAAGATACTCTTTTCAGTCCAAATTTAAGTTTTTTTTTTTTAATTGAATACTAAATTTAAAAATGGAAAAAATGTAAATATGTCTCTAATATTTACTATTTAGAGTAAAAACGGAAAAAAGTAAATATGTCCTGGTTTAATTTTTAATTGTCATAATTTTCTAGTCAAACGATATATATTTTGACTAATTTAAATTTAAAAATGGAAAAAAGTAAATATATCTCACAAGTTTACTATTTAGAGTAAAAATGGAAAAAAGGTAAATACTTCCTCCGTTCAATTTTAATTATCAAAATTTTATATTTCAGAGTCAAACAATATGAAGTTGGGCTGACTTTAACTAACCGATGAGATCCATGGAGCAATTCTTAGATAGCAAGCACTCCGCCGCCTATCTCATGCCATGCTTCTTCTTTCTCCGAATCGGTTTCTAGTGTCAGTCAATCAAGATTCGCCATCAAGAGAGGGAAGAGCCTTGACTTTAGGAAAATTTAAAAATGAAAAAAAGGTAAATATGTCTCTAAATTTTACTTTTTAGAGTAAAAATGGAAAAAAGTTAAATACTCCCACCGTTTAATTTTAGTTGTCAGAATTTATTTATTTTAGAGTCAAACAATATGAATTTTGACTAACATTTAAACATATATTTTTTCATTATATTGATATAAAATTATAATTTATAGTACTTTTTAAATAGCTTTTGTATATGTAACTTTTTATTCTAAAATATTAAATTAATACAATCTAATTTAGCTTTAAAAAATAGAAAAAATTAATTTTCGAAAAACCAACATAACAAAAATGATGTATATATATTTTTTATAGTCTATATATATTTATTGAATTAAAAAAATTGATTTCACGAGTAAAGAATATGATGTATATTTATTTTTTATAGTCTATATATATTTATTGAATTCAAAATATAAAAAATGATTTATTTTAATTCCAAAAATATCACATGATTCTAAAAATTACCTCACTCATTTGTTTTACAATCTAAACCCAACCTAAATGGAAAAAAAAACTTAATCACTCTTTTACTCGATCATAAAATAAATTTGCATCGAATCTAAATAAAAGAAGAATTAAATAATTCAATATGTTAATGAAAAGGATAAACCTACATCAATTTTTTTAATGAGAGAAATATTCACTCTAAATCATAGAGTTGAGAGTATATTTACCCATTTAATTGTACAATTTTTCTTGATACTAAATAAAAAAATAAGGATAAAACTTACCCGCATCGGGTGTAACACTAATCCAATATATGCATGTCATGTGTTTAAATTTATAATTCATTTTACTTGATCTTAATTAATTAACGTGTGTTTTACTTCATTAAATAACGTAATAATAAAAATTGCATTAGTTTGGTGTATACGCCTGATACGGTTAAATTGAAAAGAAGGATAATACAAAACAATGGGACCCTCAGTGACTGACAGACAGAAGGGAGGAACAGAGGGTGGGGGATGAGTCTGAAAAAATAAAACAAAAAGATGTTTTGGATGGGCAAGTGTGAGTTGGTTCTGAATAGATCAAAGATGGGACCTAATATTATAGACTTGGACTTTAGTGAGCTACACTAACTTTTTCTTTTAAATTTTACCCTTTTTTCTTCTTCTTCCATCTCATAATGGAAAACTAGAATCAGCTTCTTCACTTTCCATCTATCATTTCTTCTCTTCATGGTAAGGTGCATTACCATTTTTAAAATTTTTATTTTTGGTTTTTAAAAAAAATATTTTATGTTATATCTTTCGTTTCAATTTAATTGATATAGTCTGACTAAACACAAAGTTTAAGAAATATGAAAATAGTTTATAGCATCTTCGTTACATAAGTGAAATCCAACATGAGTAAATGTTGATAGTGTTAATTAGTCATATCATGTGTTTTATTAGTATTATATTAGATTTCTTATTGTTTTTGTTGTGAAATCGCTCATTATCCACTACACGCATAGTAACTAGATACTCATGGAGAAGCACATTACAATATTTGTATACTTCTAATCAGAATCCTATTATATTGTAATACTTCTAATCAGAATCCTATTAAAAATGGGAGTGAATAGATTAATTCGAATCAATATGGAATTATTATCTCATGTCCATTCTATATTTTGTCCTTGATTGACGATAATAGACATATTAATACGAATAATCTATGTAGCTTCAACATTTCTTGACTAGTTATAAAATATATGTCAAATTAAAAAATATGTATTTGATGTAGTTTCTTTTTTGTATTTATGCACTTAATGATTAGATGGATCTGATCTTTTTATTTTGTGTACCTGAACAATTCTTCTATGAATTTGATATGGTTTTTTTTTTATGTATCTGATATCTACTTAATCATTAGATGTATATGATCTGTTCATTTATTTGATTTTTTTTTTTTTATGTATCTTATATAGTTTATTTTATGCATCTCAAACAACTCACCGCAAAGTCGATGAGCACGAAGAAGGAACAAATGCTTGAAGGAGAAAATAAATGAATTTAAATTTATATAACTTTTATCGTATGTTATTAATATCGTGCAATTCTTCGTTATTAGAGTTGGACCACATGCCCCCGTGAGGGGGCATGTGTACCCGTTAACTTTAAAAAATTACGTGTATATATATATATATTATACACACTTTGAGATAGACATATATTTTACTAGGCATCAAAGACACCAAAATTATTTGGGTGTTGGTTCAACCGTCGCACCCTCCCGAGGTAAGGGGATTGAGTTCGAATCTCATTTACTACTTTTCTTGTTCTTTTTTTCATTTTTATCTATGAAACTAAATATATATTTTCGTTTTTATCTTCAACCTTGCGACCTCATGGTGCAATAAAGTTCAAACTACCACTCCACAAAGCAAACTTTTTCTAGTAGAGTCATTTAATTCATATTTATATGTCAGTACATTAATTTTATATTTAATAAAATTATCATAAGAATTGACATTGAATAACATGTTTTAACTAACATGCATCAACCGTTGATGGTCTTTAAATCATGGGTTCGCCTCAGTTCATCATTGAGAAATGGAACACATCAAGGTTGAATGAATTTAAATCGAAGCAAAATTAGTGAAGAGGTAGACAACTCTATGAATTTAATAACTTGTTGTATGTTTTGTTATATGTTAATGTCTAAGTTTATGCTATACTGTTCGTCGTACTGTGATAATATCCAATATATTCTATTTTGTGAGACTTTACACCTTTTTTTTTTGAGAATTTGGTTGTGAAAATTTTTATTCCACATGTTGGTTGGTTATACGTAAATGCATGTGGTTGGCACCACCGAAAGTGTTTTTTCAAGAATATAATTGAGTTTCATATTTATTTTAATTTATTTATATTTGATATATAAGAAAAAAAATATTATTCTAACTGTATATAATCTAGATAAATACTATTTGAGATGAAAGACTGAAAGTAGGGTAGAGTGAGGGTTGGGGGTGTCGAGGGATGAAAATGATACAATTAATATAAAATGTCGTCACTTGTTGAACTTGTTACCTAATTACATTAGAAATTTTTTGAGGGGTGCTTACCATCCGAGCAACTCCCTCTCTTCAGGGAGATTGAACTAGTTTTGAACAAGAATTGCATTTTTATACAAGGGAGGTATTATGTATATAGATATATAAAAATGTATAATCGTGTATAATAGATGTTTATATACTTATATACACTATTATACAATACTTTACACTCTTATATTACACTTGATTTCGTCTTTAATTTTTCCTTGCGCCTCTTCTCGAATTACGTCTTAATTTTTCATATTATTTCTTTTGTCATCCATAAAAAACGTCAATTTTTTCAATAATTTAATAAATTTATTAATGTTTTCCCAAATAAACAATGCATGTATACGAGACGTATACCAAAGGTGAAAGGTCTTATTAGATTCACCAACATGTACTATCTTTTTTATATGAATTATAAAGTTATTTCTTGTACATTCTATTTGTTTCTTTTTTATATTATAACTTAGTTTTTATTGGATAAAATGAAAGGTAGAACCAATGAGGATGGATAAGCAAAATCATGACCAAAAATTGAGAGACAATATGAAGTGGCAAACAGACTCATATGTGATAGATAGGTGGTAGCAAATATACCACTATATTGTAATCCTTTTTGTCTGAAAATTGGAATATACTATTCAGTATTATTCTTATACATCGTAAATTATAGCATTAATACAATGCATTATTAAATTCTAATACACCCTATCCATTTAGAATAACACAACAACCCGTCAATAAAAAATTATGTCAGCATAACCAATCTCAACATAATTAATTTTTACATTTTAATAAACCTTATTCAGTATTAATACACACACTTTGAGATAGACATATATTTTACTAGGCATCAAAGACACCAAAATTATTTGGGTGTTGGTTCAATCGTCGCACTGAGTTCGAATTTCATTTACTACTTTTCTTGTTCTTTTTTTTTTTCATTTTTATCTATGAAACTTAAAATATATATTTTCGTTTTTATCTTCGACCTTGTGACCTAACGGTGCAAATAAAGTTCAAACCACCACTCCACAAAGCAAACTTTTTCTAATAGAGTCATTTAATTCATATTTATACGTCAGTACATTAATTTTATATTTAATAAAATTATCATAAGAATTGACATTGAATAACATGTTTTAACTAACATGCATCAACCGTTGATGGTTTCACCATTGAGAAATGGGAACACATCAAGGTTCAATGAATTTAAATCGAAGCAAAATTAGTGAAAAGGTAGACAACTCTATGAATGTAATAACTTGTTGTATGTTTTGCTATATGTTAATGTCTAAGTTTATGCTATACTGTTCGTCGTACTGTGATAATATCCAATATGTTCTATTTTGTGAGACTCTACACCTTCTTTTTGAGAATTTGGTTGTGAAAAATATTATTCCACATGTTGGTTGGTTATACGTAAAT